TCAGCTGCACATACAGAGGGGCTGAACCATATCATAATGGGGTAATAGTCACTACCCTGTTTCCAAGAACCAGAAACTATCTTTTGGGTATGTTTTTGGGAGGGTGAAACCAGAATTATATTCCAAACTAACACTGTGTTATCATAGTAACTAATTACAAACCTTTATATGTATAGATTACTTATGACAGTTTGTGGTGGAGTATGCCTGAACACTTCACAGATGCTTGCCACATTCTCTGAAGAGACAAATTCACAATACTGTCAGAATGTACCAGTTTGGGTTGCAAATGCCACAATTTTGCATTAGCTGTTAGGGACCTTAAAGTCTCCTATGGTTTTTAAAATGGAAAACTGATTAGGTATCAATCCTGCTTAAAAAAAAAAAAAAAAAAAAAAAAAAAGAAAGAAAAGAAAAGGAAGGAAAAAGTTTATTTCTTCTGACAAATTTATTTGGGTTATGACTGTCCAGCCATATTGATTTAAACACCATAAAGTGCAAGCCACTATCTTGAGAAATTTAGGATTTTGCTTGTATGTGTGGAATCTCTGAGGCAGTGAAGTGCACAGCAGCCTGGAGAAGCAGCTACAGGATTCCATAGCTGTTACAGCCTGGGCTGTAGAAGCAGCGCGAGGACTAATACACGTAAAGACTCCCGTGTCTGTATACGCGAACACGGGAGCAGGCAGGAAGGAGGCAGTGGTAAGAACGTTACAGGCCATCAAAAAGCCTTTACGGAGGCTGCTCGCACACTCTGGTCGGGCGTGCATATGTGAAGGATGCCCAAGGCCGGCTGACAACTGTTCGGGGCCCGCAGTGCGGCCGCACATCCTCTCTCGCCCCTGCTGCTCATGGCGGCGGAGCCGAGGCTGCCGGCCGGTGCGAAAGGTGAGGTGAGGGGGGCCGGCGCTGGGCCCCGTCGTGCGGCACCTCCGACTCAGCAGCGCTTCAGCTTCCGCGAGGCCCCACCTGGGCACTTCAGCGCTTCAGCCACCCTCGGCGGCCTTCCTCGGCTCCCGCGGCGGAGCGGGGCTGGGCAAGGCGGGGCGGGGCGGGCCGGGCCGAGGCGAGGCGGGCGGGGGCTCTGACGCGGGGAGGGCGGTGCGGTGCCGCCGGCGGCAGGAGGAAGATGGTGGCAGCAGGCGGAGCGGCTGCCTGCCGGGCTTTCCGCCCTGCGCTGCGTTAACCCCCCCGCCGGAGCCGCCCTGCCTGCTGAGGAGGCGGCGCGGACCCGCACCAGGTGCGGTGGTTGGAGTTCGAGTGCCGGCGTCGTGGGGTGCCGGGGAGGCCGGTGGGCCGGCAGGCGGGCTGCGCAGAGAGGGGTGAGGTGAGGTGGGTTGCCGGGTGGGGGGCGGCAGGCCCGCTCCCGCCCTCGCGGCGCCTCTCGGCTGCGGGGGCTGCGGGGACGGCAGCTCCGTGTGCTTGGCGCGGCGGTGCGGGCATCGCGGGGCGAGCGGCGCGGCTCTGCACCTGCCCCGAGCGGCAGCCGCCAGCGGGCAGTTGTGGGCTTTCGCCTGTGTGATCGCTGTGTTTAACGCTGGCGGAATAACCCCTCGCGGAGCTGTGCATACCGACCGCGCTGGTTTGCTGGGTTTGATTTATTTATTCTTGTTATATCCACCCGGCATCGTTTCTTTGGCGAAACGGGAAGGGGGGGGGGGGGGGTGGGGGGGGGGTGTGCTGTGGAGATTTTCCGTCAGCCGGTGGAGTGGCCGCGGCAGGACGGGCGCAGAGGCCGCTCCCGCAGGAGGTGCTGCCGGGCGCTCTGACCGCGTCTCGGTTTGTGGAAGGGAACCCACCGCGGCCTGGATCTTCCCATCCTCTCCGTGGGGTGCAGCGAGCTGCCAGCTCCGCTCTCCATCACTGGGCTGGGTGTGTGTGTGTGTGCGTGTGTGTGTGTGACATCCGCTGCCATCACGTACCGGTGTCAGGAAAAGCAATTTGGCATAACGATTTGCCTAAATCCCAGTTGCGGTCCGTGCAGCGTATATGCTGCATCTGCTTTCTGGAAGGATCAGCGTGAAAAGGAGCAATTTACCAAGACTTCTTTGCCTGCCATCATCTATAAATCTGCTTTTTAAGAGGCATGGGAACTTGTGCCTCAGCTGGAAAACTACAGCATCTTTTTGCCTTCCCCTGTCATAGCTTTCTGTGGGCTGTGGAATTGCAGTCCTCTTTGGAGAGCGAGTTGCAGATCCGGCTATTTTCATAGCTGCTGAGGAACTAGAAGGCAGAGATGTTTTCCTGACTCTGCATATATTACGAGTGAGCTAATGTGGGTGTAGGGCAGATCGGGCACGTAGCGCTTTTCGTTTCTGACACATATCATGTCATGCCAGCTGATAAGAGCACACCCGGGTGGCTGCAATTTTACATCTGCTCTGTGATTGTGGCCCGTGGGGTCCCAACCAACTTGCCTGGAGAATATTCCTGTCATAGTGCTCCAGGTTCTGCTGCATTGCTGTTAAAATCTGGACTGGCTGCACCTGCCTTTGCAGCCCATGGCTGAAGTAAACACGTGATGCCCAGTTTTCCCTAACACTGACGGTGACATAGAATCGGTTTGTTCTCTTAGTGCTATGCAGATAACCAGAAGTGAGATGCATGTTTGCCTTTTGCTCTAATGGGGACAGAGGGGGCACAGGCTGCCCAGAAAAGCTGTTTGGGAGCGAAGGAGAACAGTTACTGTTAAATTCAGTGCATTTGTGTGTATTTATAATGAAAAATCAAGTGTCCAGTAAATAAAAATAATGTAAGACCACAGCAACTCTGCAAAAGCAGGAAATTTAGCATTCTAATGCACATTGGGGTGGATGCTGTGCATGTCTAATGAGTGAAATATAAACCTGACTGAAAGACAGCTTGAATTCACTGGAAAATGTAGTCTGAGATTGAGAGATTGATGAGCTTTTAGGCCAAACTGATTTTTTACAGAGTAATGGAAGCTCAAGATTGGCTATGTATGATGAATTGTGTAATTCAGTGGTCTAAGTTTTCTTGGATGTTTCTAGTCATAGCTTGAAGCAATATATTTATCTTATATTGTCCTAATTTAAAATAGCAATTTTTTTGGCTACTATGCTAACAGACTCAAGGCCAGCCTTGTGAGAGAATATTAAAATAAAGGCATTCACAGCTTAGCCCTTTAGTTATAAAATGTAAGAATACTGGGAAAGTAATTCAGTACGTCTAGGTAGATAACAAAAATAGTTTTGTTGTGTTGGAAATGAGGAAGAGATACCAAATCTTACAAAATACTTCTCATAGTTTCTTATTAATAATTCAGTTCTCAATCACTTGCAATTTTTTGTTTGTTAAAACTGTCTTCATATGCTTAAACCATATGACAGTAATGCTTTGGAAGAAATGTGATGCTGGATGTGGTGGTGTGGTGGGTGCCAGAGGTGAAAATCTTGGGGCAGTCCGTTGTTCCCTTATCCTTGTGGGTCAGGGAAAGTGGGTATGGAGTTCTGGAGATAAGCCTGAGCATCTTGTCTGCTCTATGTGGATGCCTTGAAATCAGGGACTACTAATTTTGAGGCTAAAGTTTGTCATCTGTCTGGTAAGTAACAGTAACCAGAAATAGTTCTTTGCATATGAGATTTTGAATTGATTTTAATTGCAGCAGGAATTGGCTTTGGACTTCTTTGATACCATTTTATGCCACAGTCATATGCAACACTTACATTCTTTAACTTATAAAGTGTGCAGTCTGAGGATTATGTGCATCTTTGAAGCATAGTTAACATTTTCTGTTTATAAGCAGTGCCTACCAGCGCCAGAGCTGACATGAAAGACATGCGGTGCAAAGAAATGGAATCTCCTATTCAGCTGCTTATTGTATATATTTAACAGGCGAGTTTGGGTAGTCATTTGCAGTGGCTTTGTTGTTTGGCTTCAGGTTGTCTCAACGTGTGGTAGTGCTTTTGGCAAGCAAAACCAGGGAAAACAAATAGTAAATCCAGAAAAGGTGGCTGTGAAAAAACGCACTGCCTTGGTTCTGTGAAGTCAGGGTTAGCATCAAAAACTCATGATAACATTAGAAAAATTAATTATAAAATAAACTTCAGAGTCAACGAATAGACAAAATGAAGGGAAAATCAAACAGAGAACTAGAACCTCTAACTTGCATCTCATGGCCTAGATACTTCTGACCAGGTTCAGCATGCTTTTCCCTTGGCACATGAATTGTCTTGCTATTGATCATAGCTTTTCTGGATTTACATGAGATTATGAATTAGAAGAATCAGACCTTTTATGCTCAAAAAAATAATAGTACAAAACCAAATTTTAAGTGCTTTGGATAGTTTAATACATGTACTCCATAGGCAGTGCAGCTTGATTAACTGAAGCTTAACTTTGAACAAGATCCTATTACTGTAGGTTTAAGTCAAGCCTTGATGTTCCAGTAATGCATTTTTTAATGTGTTTTTCTGGTTTCACGGAAGGTGAAGATTCCCGCTTAATGAGAGATCTGGCAAACAACTGTCTGTTTATTTATTTCTAATAGATTGCTTGCAATATGTGCTGTATAGGGGTTAAAGGTTTCTGAAAAACAGATTGATTGTTTTTGCTTTGTAGTATTGATTGATTTGATAAGCCACAGAGCAGTGTGGTGGTATTTTTCTGTTCCACCACATGAGACTGTGTTCTTCTACAAAACCTGTATGTCTGTTGCTTTACTGAAGGGGCCTAGGGCCTTGTTTGCTCCTTTCATCTGTATGGGCATAGAATGATAATATCTGTCCTAATTCTGAATAAATAAATACAGGAGCAGTGTAATGGGTATGTGACAGCTATGGATGGCAGGGGGCTTGGCTGAGGATACTCTTAGGACCACAGGGTGGTATTTTTCCACTAGACCCTTTCTGTTGGAGGGGGTCCATCTTGACATGGGAGGAGTAGTGGGAATGAAAGTGCAAATCTGTTTTTAGGGAGCCATTATTTTTGGCATTTCCCAGTGGCATCTTACCTGGTCCGTCCTGTTGTCCTTACAGGATCATGTCCTGCAAGGTGTTTCCTGTGATGTGTTCTGTCTAATGGCAAATACTTACTGGGAGAAGTTTTCATCATCCAATAAACCTGTATAGGCAACTGTTTGTGGATAAGCAGTGTGATTTTACATCATCAGCAAAACTAGTGAAAGAAATGGATTAGAAGTATTTAAAACAATAAATAGTCTAGGTGAGGTAGACCACAAAGAGAACCTCTGTTTTTCCCATTGCATAGCAAAAGGAGGAGATGATATGTGACATTTAGCCAATTATATCAGAATGTTTAAAAATTTGGAGTGTTTAATGTTTTTTAAGACATGTACCCTCCCTCCATGTTGTCCAACGTGTTCTTGGATTATCTATTTGGTCTGTCAAATCTTGCCTAAAAGCGAGCAATCAAGAATAACTTGCTTTTCTGTTAGTGAGCACTTCAGTAAGAATTACTCTCTGTAAGAAGATGACCACCTTGTCACCCATCTGAGGAAAATGTGAATGCAGGGGAGTGAGAAACTTAATTAAAAGTCTGTGGGAGAATGTCTCAGATGACAAATTCCATCCTTGGAATTTGGGCTGAATCCTTTTAGTGGTAATTTCTCTTTTTCAACTAATTAAACTCTTCTGAACCTCCGTGGCACCCTGTTTGTGCATCAAGAGCATACCTGCTGAATTTGATGTGCGAACTTTCAGCTCAGAAAGATGAGCACAGATCAGGAAATCACCAGGACAGCAGCGCCATGGAGTACTCAAAACTTGTCCATCTGCTACCAAGATCAATTGGGCAGCTACCCTACATTAACTCACTGTTGCTTTATTATTTCCGTGCTGGGGTTGTACATCAGGAAAAGAACTGCCTTCCTGTGTATGAGTTATTGAGATACTGGTTCAGTGTCTTGGAGATACAGGTGTAGAGCCTGTTTTGATCTGGTTTTAAAATTTTTTTTTTTTAAATAATTTTATCAGGTTTGGGGTATGTAAAAGTAGGTACTTTTAAACGGAAGGTGGAGGAAGAAAACTCAGAACATAATAGGAGATTTGAAATATACACAAATATGACTTCTTTTTTTCCCTTGAATATATGCTTAGGTTTTATTAATATATAATTTTTTTAATTTAGTTTGACATACGAGTTCTGATAACAGTGTTACCATGACCATGTATTTATATGGTGTCTAGTCTGAAGGGACTTTGATCATGTTTGAAATCCTGATGCTTAGAAATCTTAAATGTAAGTCTACTTTAGGCTAAATAAATTTTAAATGATTTAAAAAGAACAACTGAGTAATGCCCAAAAAAGCTCCTGCCAGAGGAGGAAGCAGAGGGTAAAAGCTTTTGCTCTAGGTCTTCCCAAGGCTAATGAAAGCTTTAGTTTAACACTGTTCAAATCCAAGTAACAGGCAAAACTAGTAGTTTTTTGTATGGTAGCTGTCTCAGGTGAATTTTGGGAACGTGGGTACTGCCTCCACTATTGGAAGAAGAAATTAGTATGTTTTGTGTGATGTGTGTGGGGAGCTGAGGGTTTTTTTTTTCTTCTCTTTTCTTAACAGCTTTTTCACACCAGCCTTTTTATGATCACAGAGTAGCTTGAGTTGGAAAGGATCCCTAAATGCCATCTGATCAAAGCTCTGCTCAAATCAGGTGACTAAGGCGAGGGCTGCACATGCCATGTTGGTAGCCCTTGGTTTAACTAAAGCGTGAAGCTCTGCAGCAGAAGGGCTGTCTCTTGTGGGCTTCGAGCATAAGGGTATGCAGAAGATTTTGCTCACTGCCCTGATGAGATGGGGCATTGCTGCTGAAGGCAAGCCTTCCTCCGATCTGCCCTCTGGCCAGGCTGCCATGCAGAGAGCTGCTCGTGCTGCTACTGAGTGTTGGGGTTTCACCATGTGAGAGAAGCAGTTATCACCTCCTGATGGGTGCTACTTTTTAAGTCCATCTCACCACAGTTGTTCCACCCATGAAGGGGCTGAAATGTGGGTGTATTAGCTTATCTATTGACCTGATAGATGACATAGAGAAATAACATCCAGAAAAGACATATTTTCTGTGTTAAATTGTGTTGCAGTAGTTTTTAAATTAGAGCATTATATAAAAAAATAAGGATTAAGTAACATTCCTGCTAATTATGTGCTGTGCAGTTACCTTTTACCTAATGAAGAAAATCTCCCCCAGTAACTTTGTGGTGAGCTGACAGAAACTTCTGTTAAATAGAAGAGTCAGTGAAAAACTAGTGTATAGCTTTTTAATTCCATTGCATTTTCAGTGGACATTTTACATATCCTTTCCACAAACATCGCATGTATTTCTGACATCCACAGCTATTGTACTTTTTGTCTCAGAGTGGAAAATAGGGATGAACTCAGGGTTCTGCTCTCACTCAAGAATTATCTTCCCTTGCTGATAAATGATTAATGTAATCCACTTATGAGATTGCCATGACATCATTCAGGTTTTGGCATGCTTAATTTTATTTCATAACAATGAGAAAATCCCGAAGTCCTTGAAAGCTTCCCTGTGCAGGAGGATCTTGTTAGGGCTGCAAGGCGTGTGGGAGACGTTTGAGTTCCATGCCTTCTTGGCAAGGAGTTGGGCATCTGTCCAAGGGGACAGTGCTCTGCTTGATGATGTTGCTTCTGCATTAGCTTCAGCATCGAGGCTTTAATTTAACTACATCCTTATGATAATTAGTCTGGCTGCTCTGGTTTAGTCTTGCCCAAGTCAGGCAGTGTTAATGGGTTGTGTTTTGAGTGTGGTATCCTTTAGGCCACACCAGTCTGGGAATCAGCAGCTTTACTTGCAGTTAAAGTTGAGTTAGGGACTTAACACACTCCCACATATCTTTCTATTTCTTTACCTAAGCAGACTGTGAAGGCTGAATGTCTTTGTTTCAGCTTAGGTCACGCTGCTTCTGAATGCAAATGTAAAGGTAATTAAGGCTACAGAAAACACATCTGTATTTTAGAAGATAAACACAATTAATGCTTTGACAATACATCAAAATATGTTCTGGATGAAAATCTAACTACTTTATTAAAAAGAACTAGAAGTAGTGTTTCACGTTAGCTGCTGATTTGACTTTTTCTGGTGTTTTGTAACCAAGATACCCACCTCTTAAAATTTTTTTTTTCTCAAGGAAAGCTAAGTTAGTGTGCTGGAAGGATAAGAGTCAATTGATTAGGATGTCCATAAGCTGCATGATGTATGCTGCTTATTTTAGATAAAAAGTAGTCTTGTTAATGTATCAGGTAACTCTTTGTGTTACTTTGGGTATTGCAGGTGACATTATCTGAAGTCTCCTGCTGCACTGGTTATGAGAGTGCCTGTGTCACTGGGATCCAGTCATTAGCTGTCATCCACCAGGAAAAACAAAGCATTTCCTAGAGGAGATCTGGTTCTCTGTCAGACCCCTTCAGGATAAATTATCCCCTGGTAGCTAACTAAAGCATTTTCGACTGAATAGCAGTGTAGAAATACAGTTGCACAAGAAGTTAATATTAAAAGCACAGAGCTAGTTTTTACACAGTTACTATTTGTATAGTCAATTTTCAAAAAAGTAGTAAATTCTCTACCCCAAATGGAGATTCTCTAGGAATTAAAACTATAATGAACAGCCTTTTTGTGCATGGAGCAAAAGCAATTTTTATATGTCGCATTCCTGGTATGCAAATTTGCATTTTCTTGAAGATACTTTTTCTTCAGTATCTTTACCCATGAAAATAATGACTTCTTAGGCAAAGGTCCAGAGATATTTTTGATTTATTTTTTTTTCCTTCCAATATATAATTGTGTTGAAACCTGAGCAGTTCATAACCCAATTTTGATTTGCAGTGTTAAACTCTCTATTATGGTTTTGCAAGGAGTGGCATTCACAGGCACTGCGGTGCAGGTTTATATGCATACACTAGATACGCTCCGGATAACAGAATAGCACAAACGGCAGTAAGGTAAGAATTCCTTTTTTATTAAGAAACAGCATTTCATTTATTTGGTAGAGAATTACTTTTTCAGCTGCCTGTCCAAAAGCCTTGTATTTTCAAATGGTAGAGCATATAGAATGGTGACTTTTGGGCCATTGGATAGGCTGAAGGGTATGTATACTTTCGTAGGTGTCTTACACCTGAAACCAGAGTGTGAAATTACTTGGAAGGAATTCACAGGGTGGGGTGGAGTAATTCAGGACTTCTTGTGATGCAAGGAAGAAGAAGATATTTTTTCAGCCAGTTAAAATATTTTTAAAGTCAGTCGGAAGGTTTATAAATCATATGAACTGCAAGGACTTAATGACAGCACACAAAGAAGCTGTTATTCTTCCATTTTTATAATATGCTGCGTCTTAGTGTGTCAAAAAATCAGTCACACATCCCTTAAAGGCTAGCCTCCTCCATTTATGTGCACATCTGCCATCACTTTATTTCCTCTGCCTTTCGAAGACTTGCCATCTCTCCAGTGCATGACAGGAATCCTGTGGCTTCAAGGCCTTTTGAGATCTCACACTGTTATTATGGCAGAGTAGCTTACAAACCCTGGTGGCATTCTTTTTGTGACTTTTTGGATGTAGTGAGGTGCTGAATAGTGGGCATACCTTATAATTTGGATAAAACTCCCCACTTTACTCTCTCTGAGAGGAATCTAATCAAGTCTTTGGGCTGATTTCATGGGTCTTCGCCTGGCACTTGTGGGGCTTCATCCTAGAGAGAGAAGACATGTTTGCAAATACAAAGTCTTTAGGTTTTTCTATTATGGTGTGCTGTGAAGTCACTTGTAACTATTCACACTCAGTTTGAACGGGATGGGAGTGCTGGCTGAAATGCCAGAGGGATTTAGGAAGGAAGACGGCTTGCAGAGAAGAGTCGCGCAATGTGAGGCAGCTGACTGTTGCTGCAGCTTCACTGGAGACCCACCTGTTTTCCACTGGTGCCACTAACAAGCAAGAGAACTTGCACCACTCTTGTGGTCAGTCTGTCCATCAGCAGCAGTGGCATGTGTGCATAAGGGGGAGAATACAGGAAAGACAGGAATATAGTCTTTTTTTTTTGTACCCTAAGAAGACAAATTGGGCTGTTGGAAATACAAAAAGTATTGGTCACCTGTTAAGGCAGTGTCAGTGGAGCTTGCATGAGGGTGATGGCAGGAGTGGATTATTTGGGAAAAAATCAAACTTGCTTGAGACTTTCAGTTGTGCATAGTTCCATGTTC